GAGAGAAACAGCATCCAAAAGCGGGACCGGTGCATCTGCAGAGGCGGCAGCCATCGCTGCACACCCTGCACCAGCCCACCCAAGCCTGGGGGACTCCCTCGGGCTCCTAAATATGGCCCCCCACAGGTAAAGCCACCTCACTTAAAGGCTGAATCCTGCAGGCACTGCGGGCTGTGGGGATGAGGGCTGTTTTCCACCGAGCTGGGGGGCTGCTTTGGGACAGAGGCTGTCCCGGGAGCTGCGCCCTTCCAGCGGCAGTGTTGGACCGTGCTGCTCTGCCACCCCACGCTCCTCCCGTCCTCGCCTGGTCCCACCTGGAGCTGGCTGCAGAGGAGGCCAGATGCAGCTCTGAGCTCGGCCTTGCCCAGAGTCACTGTGTCCAGGCGACTGAGTAAGCTAAAAGCTTTAATTTTAGTTCAAAATGCTAGAGAAGCCATCGATTTGAACATGCCCGAAGATGCATCTGGTATATAACGGATGCAAATTTCCAGCACTTTTCCCATGGTTCATCTCACCAGGCAACACACTTCACCCAGGCTCATGCAAGAAATTTCTCCATGGTACTTGCGTACCGTGAAGGAGCCGGTTTCTCCTGTCCCCAGGGTTGGACGCAGAGAATCTAAAAGATGGTCCTGGCAGTGAGAGAAGGGGAACTGGTACCAAAAAACTTGTCTGCAAGGGCAGAAATGAGCTGGGAGATTAAGCATTGCCAACCATGGAGAGAAGCAGCAGGAAGAGGGAAGATGGAACAAGAGAGGGGTGGAGGAGCCAGATGTGCCAGGATAAACAGGGAGAACTGGGCCAGCACCAAATGGGATGGCAATGCCGAGAACAGGACCAAGAGAAAGGGAGAGGTGGGGAGTCGGTGGAGGGGTCTGGGGAGGATCTCATCAACAGGTCGTTTTCACGCAGACATCAAACGCACCAGCAAGGGGCTTGCTTCCCCCACACCAAGATAAGCTAAAGTCCATACAGGGAAGTCATGCTCTGGAGTGGCAGTTCCCAGTTCCCAAACCAGCACAGTCCCCCGCCTCCCCCCACAGTGCAGGACTGCACAAGGAAGAGGTAGGAAACTCCAGCATAGCCCATACTCGTATTTAATTATGAGGACAAGACAGACTGGGGCAGGCAGGTATGTTGGTGTGGAAGCACAGCTAGAAGAGCATACAACTCTGCCCTCACAAAAGACAGATGTCATTTTAAGGAGTAACCCTGCTAAAAGCATAAAAACAAATCATTAAAAAAAAAAAAAAAAAGAGAGAAGAATAAACCCCAACCCAGAGTTTTCTCTGGAACAGATGTTTCTGCATGGTCTCCAAGCACGGGAATCGACATTGCTGCTAAGGCTTTCACATCAGACACAACGTGGAAAATTCACATAGTGCAAGTCAGGTGTTTAACACGGACATTTCATTTTGGAGCCCGTCTCCTGTGGTGGAGATGGTGAGGGCTCTTGCAGGAAGGGATGCAGAGCATGTGAAGTCAGGCTCTCACAGACACAACCCTCCGGAGGACCTTCTCTCGCCTAGGCAAGTTGTCTCCCACGTTCAGTGCACAGACATTGCAGCAGAAAAGCCCCGAGAGCTGCTCCGTGGTGCCGAGTACATTTAAGCAAACCAGGCCCTTCACACCTACTCTCCCACCTGCTTTCTGTAAGGAATAAGGTGCACAAAACAAGGCTGCATCCACAAAAGGTGGAAGTAAGAGACCCAGAGAAGTGTCCACAAGATAGCAGGGTTCGCTCATGTCCTTCACCATGGAGCAAGGCCACAAGGACATACACGGCTGCACCCATGCTTGGAAGAGGAGAATCAGTCCCAGATGAGCATCCCCATCTCCATGCGAGAGAAAAGAGCTCTCCAAGAGGACAGGTCTGGGCTGCTCCTCCACCTACTGCACAAACCCGGGACACATTCAGAAGTACAGACAATAAATTAAGATTGGGGAACAAAAAAAAGTCAGGGTGTATTTTTTATATATATATATAATATAATGTGCGTGTGATTGTGAAAAATAGAAATGTCATCCCCAGGAGAGAGCAAGGCATGGCAGAAACACATCCCTGTCCCTCTCCCAAGCCCAGCACTACCCTGCTCCCCTGATTCACAGCAGAAACACGACACCAGCAGGGCCACGCAGGGAGCAGGGGTTGCGCCTGGCACCCAGCTTCCCTCTGCCAGCGGGGCCCTGTGCCAGGGAGGAGCTGGCTGCTTGGTGGAGGAGTGGGGAAAAGAGCCCAGCACTGGTCCCTTCATGGCCTTCACAAGGAAGGGTTGCTGCAGGCAGGAAAAGGGGGGAAAGACAGGAAAAGCAAAGTGAAATGGCAGGGGCACCCCACTCCTCCTCAACTGGCCAGGGCCCTGCCCCTCCCGTGGCAAGGGACCACCACCGCTGTACCAAGTAAAAAATAAAGCCATAATGAGTCTATGCTTTGGTATGCAACCATCCCCCTCCCCTCAGTCCGCTCTGCATTCCCCCCAAACCATTATCTGTCAAACTCGTCAAATAAAATCTCTAGCATGCCTTTGTATCGCTCCTTGAATCTTTTCTTCCCCAGCGCTTGCCTTGCCCCGCTCTCCCCAGCAGGATTTAGGGAGGTGTCTTGCTTAAGCCCCACCAGTTACAGCTTCTGCTGTCCTGACTGGATCCTGCCAAACGCTGCCTGGTCCAGCCGCAGGTAGTGGCCTTGCCTGGAGTCCAGGAAGTACAACCTGTCCTTCACCACCGTGGGGTCGAAGCCCTGCTTCCGCAGCTCCATCTTCTGGAACTTGTAAGTGCCTGGAGCAAGGAGAAAAGGAGGAACAAGAGGTCACCGGCTGCACATGCTCCCATCCCCACCACACTTGTGCTGCCCCAGATCCAGCCTTGCCTCCCCATGCCTCCAAACCACCAGAGGAGCTGGCATGGGGCTCTACGGGGCAGAGGGTCTCTATGGGGCAGAGGGGCTCCATCCTGACCCTCCTGCAGATCAGCCTCCGTAACCAGGTCTTCCCTCCCAGCTCCGTGCCCAGTGCGAGCGTGCATGCCACAGCTCACTTGTCTTGGAGACTTCGTGCAGGAACCGCAGGAAGACGGGCCGTGCATACAGCGGCAAAGCCTTTTTCAGCTCACTGGCAAAGCCTTCTAGGTCACAGGAATTTTCCGGGTCAGCGATGGCTGCCATTCCTGCCTTCCCTTCAATCCCTAAGAGGCAGAGAACAAGGGAGAGCACTCAGAAACGCTGTCCCTGTAGCATCATCTCCTTCTGTCTCACACCAGCAAGGCCTCTGGCACAGAACCCACTTTGTACTGAAGCGCTGGTATGTCCAGCTGTGTCACCGGCTGTGTCACCACCCTGTGGCTAAGGCTACCAGCGACACCCTGTGGTCATGGTCACCTCCTCCCAGAGGAGGCACTTGCAGCCTGTCCAGAAAGGACGCAGGGTCCTTCCTAACCAGCCAGAATCAGACCGAAGTTTGAGAGAGGAAGGGAACCCTCTGGTTCCCTCTAGGCACATCCCCAGTGGCCTCTTCCCAGCTCACCCATGGGGAGCCTCGGTGCAGCCTCTTGCAAAAGGACATATCGATCTGGACATGCAGGACACGCTCACATTCAAGTGCCAGAGGCCTGCCTGCCTCCCCTGATCATCCTCTTCCCTCTCAGCTACCTGGGATCTCCACCCCGTAAACCACCACGTCTGTCAGGTTCAGGATGCGGCTCAGCGTCCCCTCCACCTCTGTGGTGGAGACGTTCTCCCCCTTCCAGCGGAATGTGTCCCCGGTGCGGTCCCGGAAGTACATGTAGCCGTATTTGTCCATCACCAGGACATCCCCTACAGGAAAGTGAGGAATAGGCAAAAAATGAGGTATCAGAGGGGCTAGAAGCAACTCTGGAGCATCTCAGGGCAGTGCCACTAGCCTGGGACAGCCCCCACACTCACCCAGGTACCCTTCTCCTCTGCTCTCAGTAGATGGAAGGGCCCTGCTTGCCTCACCTGTGAGATAAGCAGCGTCCCCTTTTGTAAACACATCCCTGGCGATTTTCTTGTTGGTGGCTGACTGATTCAGGTAGCCGTCAAAGTGCTGTAAGGGGTTGCTCTTGACAATGCGGCCCACCAGCTGCCCTGGCTCCCCTGCAGGGAGAAAAAAGGGCATGAAGGGGTGAAGCAACCACCCCCACGCAAGCAAAAAGGGTATCTAATGGGATTGGTGGGGTTTAACGGAGCAGAGGATCAAACTTAGGTAAATTATCTTGAAGTATCAAGAAAGACTCGCATAGAGCTGAGGAGACTTATCCTTGTGGTTGCTCTCACCTGGTTTGCAGCGGATACAGACACCATCTGGCCCCCGGATCAGCTCCATAGTGTCTTCATCCACCCTCACCAGGCCGATGGGGTACACACCTGGCAGGATCCTGCTGTTGAAGCCACATGACCCAACCTAGGACAGAAAGAGCTCAGAGCTGTGGGTAGCAGGGACATCTCTCCCAGCCCTGTGAGCCTGCTGCCCTGGCACATCCAGGATACCAGAAAGCTGGCACTGCACAACAGCTGCCAAAACCCTCTGGGCAGATGGCAACCGCTGCCAAGCCTCCTGGAGCAAGAAACCAGGAGCAAACAGCCTGTCTGGGTTTCCAGCCCTGTCCAGGCCAGCACGCACCCTCTGGGACATGGGGAGGGTGGTGGGGCCTTACGTTGTTGTCGAAGTTTCCCAGGCTGCAGTTGCATTCTGTGGCCCCATAGAACTCGGCCACCTGGGCGATGCCGAAGCGGGCCATGAACTCCCGCCAGATGGAGGCACGCAGCCCATTGCCCAGCGCCATGCGCACCCGGTGCTGCTGCTCCACCTCCTGGTACGGCTGGGTCAGCAGGTAGCGGCAGATCTCCCCGATGTACTGCACAATCTGGGAGGGATGGAGAGGAAAGACTCACTAGGACCACCTCCTGCCAGGCTCCGTGGTGTCTGGGGTTTCTTCAGGGCAGGTAGGAATGGCACAACGAGTCCAAAGTCCCCTAAAGAGGCCACAGGAAAACCCAGGAGTCCTGCTTGTCCAGTGCCTATCCCTCCCCGGTTAACCCACTCCTCCAGTCTGTGAAAGCTATCCGAGACCTCTTGGCTAACGCTGGAGCATGGGAAGGGTTTGGACACAGTTACCAGCCCAGATGGGAAAGACACAGCCCCACCACCTTGGAAGGTGGTTTGAGATGGACAGGCAAAACCAGTCCAGGCCTCCCCCTCTTCCAGTGGCTGCACTGTCCCGAGCATGGCACAGATCCCCAGGCCCCACTCCCCAGTCCCGCCTGGCCCCTTGCCTCACAGCCTCACCGTGCAGTTGTATTTCACGCAGTCCTCCCAAAAGTGTGAGGCCGAGAACTTCTTGCGGATGACAATCGTCATGCCCTGCAGCAGGCACTGCCCGACCCCCACGATGTTCCCTGCGGAGAGGCAGCCAGGGGAGCCCTCAGTCCCCAGACGCCTGCAGCCCAGCCCGTTTGGGGAGAGGCCTGGCAGGGCAAGGTGGAGGCCATGTGCCAGCTCACAGCAGACCCGTGTTCACCTAGCCAAAGTCCCCAGGACCACAGACACCGGGGAGAAGACACGTGGCAGCAAGATCTGGGGCAGAACTTTGTACCTCGACATCCCAGCATGTCTCAGCCAGACACCGCTTCCCCTTCCCCCTGACTTTCCACATGTAGCAGTAATAAGGTGCAGCTATTCCAAATCCAGGCTAGGAGCTGGGATGACACCCCACATGCACACTCCCCACTCCAAAGGTCAGCCAGACCAATTCCTAGCTCCCAGGGACAGAGGAAAGCCTCTGTCAGACAGTGCCAGCAGCAGCCAGCTCCTCCTCGACATGGAGATCGCTGCTGCACCAGCCTCCGGCCTGGGCCCTGGACTTGGCTGAGGGGATAGGACAGTCCCGGCACGCAGGGCTCCGTACGGCACATGTTACCTGCAGCGTGGTAGAGTGGGAGGCAGTCGTACATCACATCGTCAGGCCTCATGCGAAAACCGTAAAAAACTAAGCTGGACATGCGGAAGTAGCTGGGGTGGGAGGGTGAAGGGACATGTCAGCAGCAGTGCTAGGGGCACTGTGCTAGGACAGGGCAGAGCTCAGCCCCGTCCCTCCCCGAGCCCCTGCCCATGGCCTTACCGGCAGTTCACCACAATAGCAGCCTTGGGCAGTCCCGTTGTTCCAGAGGTGTAGATGTAGAAGAGTTTATCTGGAAAGCAATGAGGAGACAGGGTCACATACCCAATCTAGGAGCTAGCTGAACTGGGAGAGGGGGAAAGTCAAATTTATATACTCTGTGCGTGCCACTTGGGCCAAAACTTTATGTGACAGCACCAAGAATGTGCTAGGTTCACCCTGGGCAGATCAGGTCTGTTGGACACACGGAGGGCACAACAGAGGATACTGCTCCACACAGGGCTGGGCTTCAGACACTGGAGTAATACCCATCCCAAACACCCCAGACCCTGCAGCAGACATCTGCCATCAGCATCCCAAGCAGACGTTCTTGCCAGTGTTGTAACTGGCTGACCCACAAAAACACCACCACGAGTTTGGCCCCCAAGAACTGACCACGTACCAAGAAAGCCCTTATCAGGGGCGGTTGGCTGGTTCCGCTGGGCCATCTGCAGGAGGGGATCCAGGTGTTTCGCACCAGGAAGAGTGGACTTGGGGCTTTCTTCCCCAGACCAGAAGAGATGGATAGATTTTTCCAGGGAGGTCTGCACTTCCTGCATTGCTAAGAAAGTAGAGGGGAAATGGAGAAAAACCACAGGGTGGTTACAGCACAGAGACCCCCTGCCCTCCCACGCAGTCTCAGGAAAACACTGCCCCAGGTATCAGTACCCTTGCTGTCCTTGGCAGAGTTCCCAAAGGGCTGACAACCATCCCAGGCAGATATCGTTCCCATGATTATCAGATGCTGGGGCCACAGCCCAAGCCTCTTCAGGGACTAGAAGATCCTGTTCTCCACCTCTTCCCAGCCAAAACCTCTTTGGTGCCAAGAGGTCTGTTGACACCATCAACCTCAGAGGCGTGGGCTGAAACACATGAGGAGCTGGAGCTAAGGTGCTGCAGGGATGCAGCTAGCAGCCATGGAGAGCAAGGGGAGGCTCGTCCCGTGCAGCGGGGCAGGCCTAGCCCAGCCCAGGGCTCCATGCAGGGGAAGGACCCAAGAGGCACAAGGAAGGATCTTCACACTCAGGCTGGCCTGCTCGGGAGCCAGACAGCACTGAACTCCAGATCCTGCCCAGTGTCCAAAGGGACCAAGAAGAAAAAAAAAACAAAACCCAAACAGATCCAATTCCTAGATAATTCAACCATCCACTGTCTTCCAGATTCCTGCTCTGTGGTGGGCAGGAAAGGAACACTAAATCCATAGACTAGACACACCCCCCTCCAGTCCAAAGCACCCTTGACGCATCTGCCTGCCCCTCACCTTCCATCATCTCCACCCCAAAAACCACAGCCTTGGAGCTGGAGATGGTGATGCAGTGCAGCAAGGCCTCCATGCGCAGGTGGGAGTTCACAAGGGCGGTCTCCACCCCAATCTTGGCCAAGCCAAGCCACAGTCCCACGTACTGATTGCGGGACTCCATGAAAAGAGCCACCACGTCACCAGAGCGGAAGCCTTGGCCGTGAAAAAAATTGGCCACCCGGTTGGAGTACTCATCCAGCTGCCGGAAGGTCCAGCTCTCGCCTGTGCCTTGGAAGATCAGAGCTGCCTTCTCTGGATACTTGCTCGCAGTCTTCTGGAAGATCTTGGCGATTGTGTTCTTCTCCCTCACATGCCTCCATACCTGCCACTTCACCCGCAACAGGACCAGCCCCGTGCTGCCAAAGGAAGGGGAGCAAAAGGGCAGCTGCTCAGTGACCCCTGCAAAGCCACTTCCACCAGCGCAATATGAAGACCATGCTAGGAGCTGCAATAGCCCAGCACTGCTTCGGGCCCTGCTCTAGGTCAGCAGCAGCGCTGGGTGCTCCCCTGAACCATGTGGACATAGGCAGAGATCTTCTGCAAATATGCTTATAGCCAGGAACTGACGGAGGCCAGGGAGAGATGTGTTTTGGAAGGCTGCAGACAGGGATGTCCCCAGTCAAAGGGGCATCTTTGAGCCTCAGGTGCTCTCCAAGAGGTGCTACAACTCCCTCCCCGCAAATCCTTGCCAGGAGCTCGCAGAGCCTGGTACCAACTCAGAACTGAGCCTGCACAGGCACCTGGTGCCAGGCCAGCAGCTTTAGGGACAGGGTGAAGTACAAGGACAGTCACTAGACTTCAAGCTCAGCTGAAATCTATCTTTCCTGTGAAAACTTTGCCTGAGAGTGTGGAGCCGCCCGGGCGCAGCAGAGGGAGATCTCCTTCCAGCCGGGCCAGGCGCCAGCAGAAATGCATTGCTGTGCAAAGAGCAGGGGGCTGCACTCACACGTACACTGGGGCAGAGCAGTGGGCTGGGGGGAAGGCTGGGCCATCCCAGCCAGGACACCTACGTGACGTCCCTTCGTATTGTCTTGATGAATATGAGGAAGAAGTCCCATCCGCCGGATCCCAGGTAGAAGATGAAGAGAGCAGGGATGGCTTGGGCCCAGGACAGCTCCAGATTGACCCTGAAGAACAGCAGCAGTGCTGCAAAAGCAGCCAGACGCAGCATCGTGGCCTGCGGAGAGAGAGAAACCACGGCCATCAACTGACGCACGCTGGACTCGGCGATAATGAACCCATGGGTGGGGGGAGCATTAGCAGCCCCCAATTTCCTGGATGTGGTCCCTGAGTCACCACTCCTCCTGGCAGCAAGGATGTAACCCAGCAGCCCAGAGCTCCCACAGTTGTAACTTTACCGGACCTTGGAGACGGCCTCCAATTAAGCCACCGGCACAGCACTGCTTAGTGCCAGCCAAGAGCCCGGCCATTCCCACCTGGGGAGCCACGTCCTGCACACCAGCCAGGGGCATGGCTGCGCCCCCGCGGCATGAGGTGCAAGATAAAGTCACTTCACAGATGTGGGCGCAGAGTCACAGCAGGAGACCTTGTACAGATGTTTGGCAGGCACCAGGGCGATGCCAGGCAGGGCTGGCTCAGCTCCTCACCTCCACCCTAATAAAGACCAGCTTCAAATTCCTCGCTACCCCAAGGATCCCTCCATCCCCATAGCACAGGTCTCCCAGTCTCCCAGCACCAGCTCTCCTGCATGCCTGTCTCCGGGACAGCCAGCACAGCTGGTGGGAGAGCGCAGCTTCACATGCTCCCTGACACAGCTCAGACAGGAACAGGGACAGGAAACTCAGCCCACTGAGCTCTGCTTGTGTTTGCAAACCCTCGTGTCAGTGAGCAGTTTCCTGGCTTGGCTCTGCTGGAGACACTGCCACAGCAGGTTGGGGATGAGGCCAGGCACAGGCATGTCCTGGCCAGGCTGGAGTGGGCATGCCAGCTGCCAGGAGCACCCAGACCCCCGCCCCATGCCCGGCACACAGTCACTCAGTGTCTGGTGCTCATTCCCCAAAAACAGCACCTCTGGTTCCCCATCCAAAACACACCCTAGATGTGGCTCCAAGACTTGCAGGGGACCGTGATCTAGCAAAGGCTCTTTTTGGGTGGCGGCATCACGCAGAGGAAAGTGACAGTGATGTGACCACTGCAGCTTGAAAGCTCCTAGATAAAACTGGTCCTTCCTCATATGGATGCACGATGAAGAGGAAGGAAAACATTCACATCATTTCCCTTTCCCCTTTGAAGGTGGATTCACTGCTCCAAAGCTGGCAGCCCTGAGTGCCCACAGCTGGCAGGGTCAGAAGCCACGCTTGCAGCTTTCCCTCTGCTGCGTGCAGCTCCCCGAGAGCCAGGGAGCCTCTGCAGGTTTGGTACGAGATGC